AATATTTCTGTAAAAGTTTCTTTTTCTTTTCTAAATTAGTAGGTTTTACTTCTATTCATATTTATGAGGTTTACTTACTAACTTTATCCTATTATCTTATTTTACTATGTGACAGTTATTTTTAAAATTAGGTCTAATGATAATCATTATGCTTATAAATAATTTTCCATTAGGGTAATACATGCTCATTCCGTTTTGTTTCCATCGGAAATAAACTCATTTGCCAAAAGATTATATACTATTTCTTTAACTTCAAGGATATTTTTAATTCTTATCAAAAATCTTTTCTTGCTAGAAACCATAATTGCAAAAAGATCGAATAACTCTGAATTAAAAGACTATTTTATTCTATTATTTCAAATCAATTCTTTGAATTTTCTCATCAATTGACTGAGACAATTATTATCAAACTAATTCTTTTTTTTTCTTTGCTTTCTTTAGTTATTTGATCGAATTCGTTCTGATAAATCATTAAATCATTCTCATTTTCAAACTGGATTTCGTCCATTTGTTTTATCAAAAACTACTTCTCATTTTAATAAAAATTCGTCATCTGATTCATTTTCTAATCGATTATCAAGAAAATCCTCATATCAATCGAATGATAATGAATTTGTCTCTAGAAGTTCAATAAGAGCAAGTCAATCAATACGTGTTACACGTATGCTTGTTATTGTTTCAACTTGTTTTCTTATACTTAATGCTCCAGCACATTTATGTGTTATTGCACTTAAAATTTATACTAGCATTGATGTACCAGTATTCAATGAACGAAATTATACTAATCTTTATTACCCAACGAAAAATTTAACAATTTTTGAAATAGCAAATTTTGTTTGGAATAATGATATTGATAAGCAAACAAATAATGAAACATTATTATCTTCATTCCAACATGAAGTAATAGTTGAAGATCAAATGGCAATACATTTATTTTATATGGCAACTTTATTAACACAATCAATATCATTTGCATCTTATTCAATAAATTTTTTTCTTTATTCGTTCAGTGGAGTTGCTTTTCGAACAAGTCTTAAACAGTTCATTAATACATTTCGAAAACAATAATATTTTAACTATTCCTTTTGTAAAAATAAAAATAAAGATAAAATCTTCTCTTTTTTGTCAATGTATATTTAATAAAGTTCCAATAAATCACAATCGATATTTTATCATGTTTTATATAGAGGATACTTCAAAAGATCTTGCCATATTTGATGATTTATCTTGAACCAAAATATAATATACGTAGTTTTTGTAGAATAATTTGCGACTCATCGAATAACATGCAAGAAATTAAGTTTTCTTCAAATCTTCATGTGCTGATGGTCCATATATTAGTTATAATCATTGAGACATGTATATATGATACTCATAGATATTATGGTTGTTAAGATGTTTTAAGATAAACTTATGTACATATTGTTTCTCAACTCAATTCGATACAGTTACAAGTGCTCTTCAATTATATATAAGCAATAGTTTTCATCATTGCTTTGTTCATATTTAAAGAAATGTCTCCTTTTCTTAAGTCTAGGTTATTGCTTGACAATGTGATATTCTAGTGTGTTCAACCCTGTGCCATAGAACAAGTGAGTCATAACATGAAACTTTCTTGAATCCCTACTATTCTGTAACATTTTATGTGTGAAACAGATAGAATTCGATAATATGCAGTCTTCTACTATTAATCGAATAGTTACTTTCAGAAAAAGAAAATTTAGATAAAAACCGTGATAAAATTAATTTTAATAGACGAAGAATTCAATGATTTTCAGCAAAACATAGTCAGTCTTTTGTGTTAGCAAGTAACTTAGACCGAATTTATCCATTATTGTTATTTGTCAGATCAGTTTAATTGTCTAAAATTCAAGCGCCTAAAAATATGTTTATCATTTTAGTAATGTTTTAAATATTCTGCTATTCCTTTCAAAATATTGTTTTTTTTTTGCATTACACATAAATAGGGCTAAGAACAACAGTTTCCCAAAATCTAACATTGATCCCATAACTTTTTACATAGTCTCATCACATTCATCATGTTTTTTTCTCAAAACTAATATTTACATATACAATTCTTGATGTCAAGAGTTCTATCGATACCAAGTTTTGTTTTTCAAATCTTCTCATAAAATTAAAGTAGACTTAAAATACTAAAAATAAAAAAAAGACATAATAATTCTAACATTTTCTGTATTTATTAAGGATTGCATGTAACTTATATTTCATTCTCATTTTCTATTTTATCTTTTCAAACTTCATAGAATTCTCCTAGAAAGTTTCCTTCTTTTTGAAATCAACTATTTTAATACAAAGTAAAAACAAAACATTCAAACTTTGAGTGTGCAAGGGATTATATTTATTATCAATACATTCGTTCTTTTATACTGTTTAAAGAAATAAAAAACAGAATCACAACACTACACATATGAACATAAGACAAAAATAAAAAGCTCACTGATACATCCATCAAAAAAAACGTATATTGAAAAAAAAGAAATATTAAATGATATACATTGTTTAATTAATAATCAATAGAAATTTTAAGTTGTTGTCAATGGTGGATTATCTTCTCTATTTCTTTCTGTTGCTGGTAATGGTGTTGGTGTTATTATATTTTGATCAACAAATACATGAACAAGTTGAGCTTCAATAACAGGTAATTCAAAATGATGAAAAAAATAAAACATTGAATGAACTATAAAACAACAACTTGTTGTTAATGCTAAGCCTGAATATTGGCCATTATATCGAGCATGATATGCATAAAATGCAAAATGATATATATAAAAAAATCTTCAAAGAAAAGAAAAAAAACAAATGAAGTCAATCATTTTATGTCTTTTTCTAAGAAAAAACTAAGTCATTTACCGAACCCAATGTCGTTTACTTATTGGTGTATGACAACATATACTATCATATTGATCCGATATCCATACAATCAGTATAATATAAAAAGCTAAAGAAAGAAAATCATAATATTAATTAAATATTGTAAGTTCATTACCAGTTGATGCATCACTAAAAAATTCTGACATAATGGCTTCCATACCTATATTAAATAAAAATAAAAATAAAATTCATTTTAACAAAAGAAATGAATATCTTACCGATTAAGGCTAATATAACTGTTAATAATGGTGCAGCTGGAAATACAATAGATGTATTATGTTCAATCATACGTAAGAGATCAACTAAAAAATAAATTTAAGTTTATAGAAAATATTCAAATTAAATAACTTACTAATAAAAAGAAATATTTGAAAATGTGAATATCGAAGAAGCATCGAAATGCTAACCGTCTAAATAAAAAAAACAACAATAACCAAGAAAAACTTCAATATTTATATAAATAATTACACTTACAAATACAATCATAATACATAAAGCAACTAAATATGTCCACAGTCGACGATTTTGCCATGTACTAACAAAACGAAAATGATCATTTGTCATTACATTACGAACATAGCCTGAACAAAAAAAATTTGTTTGTGTGTTTTTATAATAAACGTATTATTATATAATATATACCTTTATGAGTTTCTTTTTCTGCTAATTGTTTTATACTAGACATAAGTATTTCTTGATAGCCAAGAAACTGATCAAGCATAAATCGACTTAAACCATTACCAAAGCAAGTATTATTTGTTATATCTTTTATTAGATGAGAAAAAAAATTAAATTAAATATTATTTAATACAAGAAATTCAATAGAGAATTCGAAGGAGAATAATTTGTGAAACCGAAAAGATTACATATTGATAAATAAAAATCAATCTGCGGCTAAATAGAATATTTGATAAGTTTAATGATACTTGACAGTATTATTATCTTTTCGTTGAATGATAAAATAATGATTATTTTTATTGCTATAAAAGTTTTTAGTTATGCTAATCTTCGACTAACAATTGGAGATAAACATTTCGTTTTTATGTTCTTGACATTTCTTTGGAAAAGTCGATATGATGAGAATATATCATGCATAAATGCTAATGTAATTATATTCATTCATTTTTACTAATACTTGAATAATAAACAATTCTTATGTAAGAAGTCAATTTTTAAATTCTTGTCATAAAATATTTTATCATTCATTAGAAATTTCGACAAAATTTTTTGAGTATTCAAGTTCTATATTGATGGTAGTGTTAAAGTGTTAATCTTTACTTATGGAGTATAAACTTCTAATCAATCAGAAAGATTAGATTATGTCTTACTAGAGATAAGAAAAATACATTCTAGCTGTATTACAAAACCAAACTTTAGATAATGAAAAGAGAATTTCTCAAAAAATAGTATTTTATTTCTTCTTGAGTTTTCAATATATAATAAAAGTAGGGTTTTAATTCTTTTTGTTCTTACCTAATGTAACAAGTAAAACTTCAATATTAAGTCTTTGTCTTGTTTCAGGTGATAATCGCAAAAACCCATATTCAATTGAATATTCAAGAATATAATGTTCTTCAATTAATAATTGTTTAAGCCAATCAAAATTAAATAAAGAATCAAATAAAGATTCATTATCATGATTATCTTGAGACTCAGATAAATAATTATCATCAATAATTTTAGCATTTTCTTTTGCTTCATTTCTCATTATTGATATACTTGAATAATCAATTGATGATAATAAAGAAGAACTAATACTCATATTTGGATAAGATGTTTCTAAACGATCATTTTCTGACAGCTCAATAGGAATTTCAATAACAGGAAAAACCTTTAACAATAATAATAATGAAAAGAAAAATTTACAATATATTTAAAAAAATATCCTTTTGTTTTTTTCTTACGGCTTCGTTTTGTTTTGATACAGACTGATTTCTTTGATTCTCTTCATAATTATAAAAATGGCTATATTGAAATTCTTTAGCATAAGATTGTTGAAGGTTATAACCTTCTGGTGGAGATTCAAAAAACAGTTCAACACGAAGCACACCTTGTCTTGGCCAATGATCATGTAAATGAGAAAGACATGTTACTGGTTTTTGATTGAACACAACATGAAGATAAATAAGTAAAATCATGCAAATAATTGCCTAAAATAGAATTAAATTATCGTGAATTTTTTTTTTCTATTAAATAAATTTTATTTATTCTACCATAACAAGTATTACAGTTTCTCCTAATCGACGAATATGTTTAGGAATGGTTCGAGCATAAAGAACAGCAATACGATAGAATAATGCTTGAAAGAGTCGTTCCATTGTATCACCATCAGCTGTAGGTGGTGGCATTCGCGGTGGTTGTTGTTCTGGTTGATTTATACGCACCGGTGGATTTACTTCAGTTGGAGTATTCGACATTACATTGTCCAAATGAATTTAAAACATAGAAATATATATATATATATATCTAAAAAAAATAAGCAAAACAATTCGAATGGATTTGGAAATCTTTGTTTTTAAATGTCTATATATCTGCCACTCTCTATATATGAAACAAAATAAAGATTTAATTCTGATTAAATACAGAAGAATTTGTATTTGATATATCTTTTATATCATCATCCCAATCTTCATAAATAATATTTTTCTTTGAATAATCATCAATTAATCTATTTTGTATTAATAAATTTTTGTCTTGTTTTGTTATAAAATGAATTATTGTTTCAATTAAATGTTGTTCATTATCTAGAAAAATATTTTTCTTTAATGCTTTTTTTTCAACTAAATAATTAAATTTTTCTTTTAATTCATAGATTAATTCATTTGTTTTATTATCAATATTTATTTTTATCCAATTATCAATTAAAATTATATTATCATTATTATTTGTTGTATTTGTATATTTTTCTGTTGATAATTGACTTTTACCAAAAAAAAGTAAAGCATATGGTGATATGAAACTTGTATCATGAATAAATATACTTGATGTACGAATTTTTTCATGATAAACAATTAATGTTGATTGGACGAATGAACGACGGACGTCATCATCCTAGAAATGTTTTCAAATTGTTTTATGATAAATAAATCAGAAGATATGATTTCATTGAGAAACAAGTAAAGAATAATTGTTACGTTTGAAACTATTCGAAAATTCAGATGTTCAAATAATATATA